CTCTTCCAGGGTGACCAGGGGCTGTTACAAGGATTCAGCTACTAGAGCGGTAAATGAGTAAAATGTGCATCCTAGCCCTTGTGGTCTGCTGGAGAGGCTTACTGCCTGAAGGCGAAAGGAGGGAGTGAGAGCGATGGGAAGCTGGTTTAGGTTTGTACAAGGTGCGAGAATGAGCATCAGCAGGTAATACCACAGAGAGAGAGAGCGAGCTGTGAAACTTTCCTTTGTTCTGGGGTTCTTACGGGAGTCTTCCTCGTTTGGTTTCATCCCCTTAGTAACAAAACTGGGAAGAATAACTGCAGCACAGGTGTCTGCTTTGAAAGACAGATGGGAGAAAAGGACCCTGGTGTAGGAGCTGTGCCAAGACAGAGGGAAGCATTTGAAGGGGAACTGGTCAACAGGTTGGAAAATGGCCTAGCAGCTGCTGGAAGGTCTTGTGCTGGAACTGCTGGGGAGCAAGACTTGGGACACAGACCCCTGAAGAGCTCTGTGTGTGTGACAGGTGAGGCCCACTCGTTTTTGAATCTCATGCGACATTGGAAGCTTCTTCCAGCCGCTCTGGACATGCTGTAAGGTGAGCACAGCCCGAGGCATGGTGTCAAACAGAAAAGGCCTCTTTGAGCCCAAAAATTCTCCATGTAGACACACCCACCCAGGCAGAACAAGCCTCACAAGAGCTGTTCGAGGCCCCTTGGTGTCTGGAAGGATTACTGCAAACCCTACCTAAAGCATCCCTGGTTTCCTTTTCAGCTGTCTGTGTAGTTTGGGAGAGGTGCTCAAGGGTAGTGTGAGCCCTGGACGCTTGTCTCCTGCTCTGCTTCCTGTCCCGCTCTCCACATCTTTTCCTTCTCTTTTTTCCTGTCATCCTGGTCTTCTCATCCTGCCAGTTCTTCTGTCTCTCCAGCCGGCACTGTAGGTGACTAGCTGGTGGTAAGTGCTTTGGGCTGGAATTTCATCGATTCCCAAGCTCTTTTCAGCCCGTCAGAGAACTGGGACCTTGACAAGCCTGTCAGGAGCCAAAGCTGACTGCAACTAGAAAGCACAAGCAGCTGGACAGCTTAATTTAACCACATCGTCTGGGAGCCCGGACACAGTGCCACAGGGAAGTGTCAGATGTGTCTGTCCCTGCTCAGTGACCCAGGCTGTGAGTTATGGTTCAGGACTACTGAGAGACCATCAGAAACACTTTGTCCCAACCCAACTGATCAGCAGAGGAATTCAGATGCAAATTTCTCTGTCTGAACTTGCTGTTATTCATGCTCATATAAATCCAGAATTCTGTTTACATTGGTGTATTTTCTTTTTCTCTCACACGGCTACAAGCAAATAGAGGGAATTATATTAGAGACAGGCAGTACAGACAAACAGACTTGGTTATGGTCAGTAGAGAACAACTTCTAGTGCTGCTGGGCAGCCTCAGCTCTCGCTGTGGAACAGTAAGAGGGTATTTTGCTGCTGGCCTGGCTGCTCTTTCCATAGACTCTGTCCAGCTGAGTGAGCATAACTTTCCAGTCACGGGGCTGGAAATTTCTCAGAAATGTCTCCAATTTATATGACTCTGCACATTGTTCACTCTGTGTGGTTATTTGTGGTTGTTCCACACCCTGTGCTTCACAGTGAACCAGTGTCAATGTCAGTGACACAAGGTCTGCATCTCACTCTCCCGTTTGCTGTACTTTAACAAGCTGACAAGTAAGAGTTGTTGTTTATAGCGGATTTGGGAATGTAGCAGAAACAGGTTCTGGCTGTACTGGAAGTTAAAACTGATGAACGTCACTGTGCTGGGAGGGAAGAAACACGAGCTGCAGGCGCTGACACAGTCAGCAGGAGACTGCTGCAGGGAACTGCAGCTCAGCAGAAGTGGGCACAAGAATAGGATCAGCCCTGCTGTCTTTCTGCAGTTTGCTAGTACTTACAGATGTGTCTGTGGTGGTAGTTTTGTGGTACTCCTCTTGGCATTCCTTTTCTTCCTGTGTAGTGTATATTGGAGTGCATAAAGTGAGGAAAACAATTCTGTCCAAAGCTTGTATGTGGCTGTATTGGGTTTGCACGGCAAGGTTTTGGTAGCAGGGGGGTTACAGGGGTGGCTTCTGTGAGAAGCTGCCAGAAGCTTCCCCCACGTCTGACAGAGCCAATGCCAGCCAGCTGCAAGACAGACCTGCTGCTGGCCAAGGCTCAGCCCACCAGCGATGGTGGTGGCACCTCTGTGGTAACACTTTTAAGAAATGAAAAAAAAACCTGTTGCATGGCAGCAGCTGGAGAGAAGAGTGAGCATGTGTGAGAGCAACAGCTCTGCAGACACCAAGGTCAGTGAAGAAGGAGGGGCAGGAGGTGCTCGAGGCACCGGAGCAGCGATTCCCCTGCAGCTTCTGGTGAAGTCTGTTCCCCTGCAGCCCATGGAGGTTCACAATGGAGCAGATATCTGCCTACACCCCATGGAGGACCCCACACCAGAGCAGGTGGATGCCCAAAGGAGGCTGTGACCCTGTGGGAAACCCACGCTGGAGCAGGCTCCTGGCAGGACCTGTGGCCCCCCGGAGAGACAAGCCCAAGCTGGAGCAGATTTGCTGCTAGTGACCCTATGGGGGATCCACGCTGGAGCAGTTCATGCAGAACTGCAGCCTGTGGGAAGGACTCACGGAGAAGTTAGTGGAGGAGTTTCTCCTGTGGGAGGGACCCCACGCTGGAGCACAGGAAGAGTGTGAGGAGGAGGGAACAGCAGAGACAAGGTGTGCTGGACTGACCCCAACCCCCATTCCGTGTTCCCCTGTGCTGCTGGGGGTGGGAGGCAGAGAAAGCGGGAGTGAAGTTGAGCCCACGAAGGTAAGAGGCAGGGGGGAGGTGTTTTAAGTTTTAGTTTAATTTATTTAGTTGCGATTTGATTTGCAATACATTAACTTCTCCAAGTCGAGTCTGTTTTGCCTGTGACGGTAATTGCTCAGTGATCTCCTTGTCCTTATCTTGACCCAGGAGCCTTTTGTTGTATTTTCTCTCCCCTGTCAGCTGAGGAGGGGAGTGATAGAGCAGCTTTGGTGGGCACCTGGTGTCCAGCCGGGGTCAACCCACCACAGCAACACAGACACAAGGGCTGAATACACGTATATCTTTATTAAAGAGTTAAATCATTTTATCTAGATACGTGGATTCTTCAAAGTGCTGCCACCTTAGTCTATGTTCTCCAGACCCTGAAAAAGAAACAGTAACTGCACCATTCTTGTCACCAACCTGCAAGAGGGCAGAGCTGAAAATGCAGGTTTTCAAACTATGCTTAAGTACCCAAGTCTTAAATTAAAAAAAACAAAAAAACAAAAATCCCCCCAGGCAGGCCAGCTGCAGGTACAGAGCAAGCTCTGACAGCCCCAAGAGCGACCCGTGCCCACCTCAGAGGCCGTGGGAGCCCCCAGCCCAGAGCCTGGGGATGGGGGGAGCAGCACATGACTCCCGCTCCCCTCCCAGCAGCGGTGCCTGCCCAGTGCCCCGAGCACCTGCCTTGGAGACGTAGTACTTGTCGACCCCCGACAGCCGCCTGTCTCTCTCCATCAGGGTCCACTGGTAGGGATAGCGGGCGATCCTCTTCTCCTGCAGGTGCCCACAGTTATGGGGGCTGCCTGTTATGGCCCCCGGAGAAGGGGCTGCCCGAGGGAAGGGGGATCTCAGAGGGAAGGAGGGGGCCGGGGGAGGGGAGATCTGAGGGCAGGGGCCTCCCGGGGGAAGAGGGATCTCAAAGAGAAGGGGTCCCGAGGGAAAAGGGGGAAGGT